TATTTTGCTTACAATTAATGTTTCATAAGCACACAGAAAAATCACCTTGTTTCTCTTAATCCTGAGATGGCGAAGTAATACGAGCCTGTTTTCTCTGATATTAAGTACATACTATACTTCTCTCATGATCTGCCTGGTAAATATAGTGAGTCTTTCCTGTTTCCTTTAATCCTTCCTTCTATGCTTGTCTTTTTTACTAGATTGTGGGGCTTCTATGCAAAGAGAGCATCTTTTACTTGATTTTTGTGTCTTTAGTATTATTGTAGTGCCCTACGTATATAGTTGCAGCTCTTTGAGATTTTATTCAGTTTGCTGACTTGTTCTAAAATTGACACAGAGGACCGGGGAGATAGCTCAGTAGAATAAGCACTTGCCTGGCAAGTGAAAGGGCCTGAGTTCAATCCCCAGTTCCACCAAAAAAACAAAAATAAAAAAAAGTTGACACATAAGGGCCGGGGAGATGGCTCAGTAGAAGAATCGCAAAGGCCTGAGTTCAATCTTCAGTTCCATCCTCCGCCCCCCAAAAAAAGACACATAAACTCATTGTAAATTTGTCAATTTTATTTAATTTTTAAACTGATGCATAGAAATTACTATTCTCAGTGATGTTTTTATATTTTGTCATCATGAAATTATTTAGCTGTTCTTTTTTTCATATTAATTTACTTTATTAAATGTTTTCATTACTTATTATCAAGTTTAATTTAAAACTTGCAAAAGGGGAGGGAAATAGTATAATGGACCCTCATGGACCTGTCCCGGCTTCAGTAGTTATATTTTAGTATATGTGCTGCCGAAGTGAGCACCCGGCTTCAGTAGTTATAAACACATGGCCAATCTGTTTTATCTACTTACTAACGGCTCCCTATCCTGCTTCATATTGAAGCCAATCGTCAGCATTATGTTATTTCATTTACAAATCCTACAGTATAAGTTTTTATTAAATTTCATAATTAATTGAAATTCTAGAATGTCAAACATTTAGTCTGTGTTCAGTTACTTCAATATTTGTCTCGTTATTTAGCTGTTCTTTGTCATGAAAATATCTCACTTCTCCATCAAACTTGAAAGAGAGTTTTGCAGGGTACGGTAGTCTGGGCTGGAATTTGTTTTCATAGAGGACTTGAAGTACTCTGCTCCATGCTCTTCTTGCCTTCATGGTTTGTGAAGAGAAGTCGTCCGTAGTTCTGATGGGTTTTTCTTTGAATGTGATCTGCTTCTTTTCTCTAGCGGCTTTCAGTAGATTATTCTTGTGCTGAATTTCTGGGATCTTGACTATTATATGTCTCGG